AAAAACCAAAAAACAAAAACAAAAAAAAAACAACCACCACTTAGGTTTTTGTGCAAGGGAAGTTTCCGCTGTTATTATGTACCATCAAGTTAACCAACTCATAGCTGACCCTCCAGCAGGTTTAGCGAGGCTGTACATTGTGGGGAAGGAGACTGCTCATCTTTCATCACAGAGAAGCTGATGGATTTGAATCATGTTCCCTTGAGTTGGCAGTGCCATTCCTTACCATTAAGCCACCAAAGTAGCACCTGATATAGGATGATCACCGCCATGAAGTCAACTCCCATTCAGAGAGACTTCTCATGACAGGGTCTCACTACCCATACTTTCCAAGGCTGCCAATCTTTACAGAGGCAGAGTGACTCACCATTTTCACTTGGGACCAGCTGATGGCCTTGAACTGTCTAATCTTCTAGTTAGCAACCACCAAATCCCTTAAGTCCTGTGCCACCAGGGCTCCTTAACATAGTCTCACTAAATCCACCTCTGAATTAGTTGAAGGTGGGCAGTTTCCACAGCAGTAATTTTGAAAGACAACATGAGGGTCAAAAAATCACGGTGTTAGTGCTAAGAAATTAAGTTTACACCCACAGAATTCCAACCTTATCTTTACTTCTGTTTTATGATTTTTAAGCATAAGTTCCGTTTCACTGATGAAGAGAAAATTAGCCCATTCAAATTGTAAGTTGTTAAGACTCTTCCTCTTATTAAAAAAAAAAGCACAAAACAACCCACAAATAAGACATGACTTATTCAAGGTTATACTGGGGAATCACTGGCCAAGAAAAAATTATAACTTGGAAATTCTCCAAAGACGTCATTTTGGTCAATCTCTGCATATGCGACCCTAACAATCATTCTTTGAATAAATACTTCTAGCATGTAAACTTAAGAGCAAGAGACAATCTATAGTTAGTTAATCTATATCATCTTCTCATTTAAAAAACAAAAAACTGGATGGTGCCCAGCTACCATTAGTGAATATTTTGGTCATAATTCTGTAGAATAGGAGGATGGTCATTCACCGGTGGCCCTGATACGGGTGCCAGTGGGTCCAAAGCTGAGGGTCCATGGCTCTCTGCCTCAGCGGCATTATGAAAGCCAAGCGAGCCCTGAGGTGGCAGCGAGGTCACACTGCGTCCCCTTTTGTCTGGACGCGATGCAGCTCATGTTCTATGACAAAGATGAGGATCTGGCTCATGAGTTTACAAGGAGATACCGTCACCAAGAAAGGGCAAAAGCAGGCCAAACTGAGGCAAGTGCCCAATAACCTGACTCCTCGGGCACCGTGCAGCTGGGACCTCCCGCATCCGTGTGGCTTTTCCTGTGATCCTCTGTGAACTGTGAGACTGGAGGATGGCAAGCACAAGTGTCCCTACCCAACAAGAAAACTCCAGGCTCAAGGCGTGGTTTCCTTTTAGGAACTTAGCTGGGGCTACAACCCTGAATAAACTCTATTGGCCTGAAACCTTCAGCTGTGAGCAGGGCAATCCTACAGTGATGGTCAGGCTTTGATTTGTGGCTGGACAAGAAGCAAGACAGGACCACCCTGGTCAGGAAGGGCTGGTTCCAGGGCACTTGCCTGGGGCCCTGTCTGACAGAGGCCACAGCACTTTACAAGCATATCTGCCTTCCTCCTGGGCTGCGGAGGTTACAAGTGGGAATTTCTCTCCTTCACTTCCATTTACCCTTGTTGATGCATTTCAGCCGTTCGCGTCCTCGATTCCTCCTGTGTCGGACAGAGACTGGGGGCAGCAGCAGCCTGATGGTTCCTGCCTACCTGTCCATTCCCAACTCTGAATGGATGAACTCTTTTGCTGGCAACTGAGAGTAAAGGGGACATAGTGTAGAAGGCTTCTCCTTTCGCCCACAGCTGGGCTGATTTCTCTCCACACCTCTCCTCACTGTAACCAGTTGCTGCATTAGCCCCCCAGGTGAGTGGGTACAGCCCAGGGTCAGAAAGGAACTTGGATGCCTGTGCTTGCAGGGAGTTACCCCAATCCACCTACTTGGTCTAATCCCCCTTGCCTTTGTCCCAGCCTACTCTCCACCTTGGGAAGTGTCCTTCCACAACCCTATGAATAAGGGATAGTGCCCAGGGCTGGTGCCAGTAGTTCTGAGGAATACTCCTCCTATAGTATCCCCTTGTCTTCAGCATTAGTCAAGGGAAAGTACTGGAGCCCCTGCTTCTGTGCCCTACATAAATAGGGACAAAAATGAGGAGGAAACAATAAAAAGATTTTAAACTGTGGAGAAAAATTGTACAGAACTGTGAACTAAATGGAAAAAGTATAGAACAGAACTTGACCTTCTCATTGAATCTAGACTTTCTAAAACCATAGAAGGAGGATGAAACAACTGCTCTGAGATGATACTTAAACCTTAAACCAAAAATGTCCCATGAAGTCTTAAAACTAAACTATAAAGAAAACCCAAACTCTAGTTTAGCTTTATTGGTAAAGAATGTTTGGCTTAGACATTGTGTTCTTTTAAGATCTATAGCATCAAACTGGCAACAAAGCAACAGGAAAGACAGAAAACCAAGAAAAGCAGTGAATCTATGTGAACAGATGGGACATGTTTCAGCAAAAGCGAGTGAGAACGGTTGCTCAACTTGAAAAATGCAACCACGGTCACTGAACTGTACATGGACAAATTGTGGAATTGGTATGTGTTATGCTGTGCAGATTCTCAACAATAAAACATTAAAGAATTTTTTTAAAGTTGATAAAAAAGGACAGTAAAATGAAAAACAGAATTCTCAACTATGTTTTACAAAAGATTCCAGACCTATATAGTTAATGAATAAGGTTCTTAGAAAAGTACATAAAAGATTTTTATTCTCTGGTATCAAAATAAACATTTTTTCCTACACTATGATTTGAATGAAAGTTTACAAAGTCCATTGGTTTTCCACTCAACCAGTCAAACACATTTTGTTTTATAACATTAATTACAATATCTACAACGTAATTAGTGTCTTCTCATTTCCTTCTTGAGAGTCTTATTTTCACTGATCCTTCTCTCCTACCCCTTCCTGTACTCTGGGCTTTATCCTTGGACAAATGTCGTTCCTTTGACTGTAAATGGTTGGTTATTCTAAGAACTGAGTGCTTCCCTGATTCCCTCACAGGCCTGTCTTTGGCTCAAAGTTGAGCCATGTGGATGAGTTTCGTTGCAGGTTTCAATTGTGACTAAGGTTCACAGCCTCAGGGATTTAACAAGTTTCTATTGGACCAGTAAGCCTGGCCTTTTCATTATTTTGTTGTTTGCTTCACATTTTGCCCTCCTCTATCAAGGGTCTCCTACAGTGATCTATCTCAGAGTCCATTCAGTGGTAGTAGTCGAGCACCATCTAGGTCTTCTGATCTCATGGAAGATGGTCACTTCCATTCTACACAATTCCTTTTTTACTATCAGTATGTAATCTACCTGTGTGGATTTCATTCCATTCATCATCTCACTAGCACACTGGTTTTCTCTAGTATAATTAATTTTTGGAAACTCAGGAGGCCTCCGAGGGGTGAGTCCTGGGCATTGTCCCTCTCTGCTGGCTCAACGGCATTTAACAGCAACAACATGGAGAGAGCTCTACTGGCCTAGTGGACAGAAAGTGATGCTACCGTGCCAAAGGTAGGTGATTCTAATCTGTGGCCCTAAGGCCTGGTTTTAACAGTTTTAGTTTTTGGTCAAACATTCTTCTAAGTGGTATAGCACTGGTCTGTCCATTTGCTGTACAGAGGTAACTCATAGTTGCTGTGATGCTGAACACTGTGAAACTGATGTGTTAAATGTGATAACGGTTACCCATGGTGGACAGTGTTTGGTGGAGCTCCCCGATTAAAACAAGCTTGGAAGGAGGAGTGACATGCACTTCCGAAAGAGCTTGCATCCAGAAACTCTATGATCTGGGAGAAACAAAGAAAGTTATACAACTGTTCAGGTCTTTCATTTATAGGGTCGCTATGAGTTGTCTATGACTTGACGGCACTGAACAACAACAGTATTATTAATGTAACTAACTTTAACATTAAGCAACCTAAAGAAAGTAAATATGCCAATTATTTTCTTGACAAGAGAATAATTTTATTGTATCGGCATTTTATTTGTGGAATTGTTCATGTAAAATGCAAAACGTCAGAGTTTACCCTAGTTCTGTATCTATGAACTCCACAAAAAAAAAAAAATCCAGCGTTTCTAATCATAAAGCAAGTTAAGTGTCCAGAAAATCAATGAATATGATTTTCTTTCCAAGAGAATTTAAAATAAACTTTTTTCTTAGAGAAATAACAAAGCAATCATTATTTTCCTAAATCTTCAGTAAAACACAACTAATCAGGGAAATAATTGGTTCTAAAAATAAAAACTATTTTTAATTAAAAAACAAATTTTACAGAGACATCACTACAATACAACAAAGTCAGTCTGGTCATTTTGTTTTGTCCACAACTCATGCCATACCTTTAGTTAAAAACCAGTTTCTTTTGAACCCAAATAGTGAAAAGAAACAAAACACAGGTAAGTTCAATATGAAGCAAAAAGATAAGGAATTAAGCTAAAAATCTGCCTGGCTGCCAACCCTGAACCTCAACAATAAAGATACTTATAAATAATAATAATCAATAAGAAAGATAAAAAAGCATGCTGTTGAATCTTTTTCATCTTATCTCGTCCCCATGTGACACAGCAGGACTGTCTCCACAGGGTTTGATAAGCCGTCATCTTTCAGCAGGCTGTCAGGTGATGAACTGTCACATCACTAAGACTTCTTCCTCCAAGATCCTTCCTCACAGAAATCTCAAACCAACAGCTACAAACTTTGCCACTTTTGTGAATAATCTTCTACCTCATATCAGTGGAGGACGCATCACCAGTATAAACTTCCTGTCTGGATCAAGTTTTAAAAGAATTTTGGCATATACCCTCCATATCTATCTTACAATACTTTCCTCTTCAGATTCTCTTCAAATTATCTTCAGATTTCAAAAGAGTCAAGAGTAAGAACTTGACTTGAAAGTCAAGGTACTTCAAGTTCTGACATGGTGAATTAATTTCTAATCAATTATTAAATTTAAATTATCACCGCACAGACTCACTAGGCTCTAACCTGAGAAGAGTAGTACAGCTAAAAAGGGACCTTACGGATCCTTCAGTTCAACTTCATGCCAGTGGAAGGAAGCCTCCTTTAATGTCCCTAATAGCTACTAATGTGCTAACTAATCCCTAAAGTACTAATCCTCAAGATACTAACTAATCCCTAACATACTAACAGTGCTGAGCAGCTGGATGGCTCAAGCTCTCTTAGCATAACTTAGCTTCAAGGATCCAACTGTGATTATACCAGAGACTACTTCTACTTATTCACTCCATAGACATTCCCTCCATTTATCTGTTTATATTTCTCTTTCCTTTCACTCACCTCCCTCTAAATCTTTTCTTCTCCAGGCTAAAAATGTTTTGCCAAGGCTTAACCCAGCTCTGCTTCAAAGTGTAAGTCTAGAAACAGCAGACAGAAAAGTGAGTGAATGCGAATTTCTTTCTCTTGTCTAAGGCTAGTTCCAGCTTCCAGGCAGAGGAGGAGGAGGCAGATTCCTCAACCCATTCCCCCCCCCCCATATTATAAAAGCAATATATTCCAAACTTCAAAAATTTGACAGGTTCTGTACAATGTCTTTTCATCAGTAGATGGCAAATTTCAAAATTCATAATCTTCTCCCGGGTAGTACTGGGTATCATTCACTGGTGTGAGGTCGAATCCATTTCAGGGCATGTCGTGGTGTGACAGTAATGGTGGGATGGTAAAATGCACAGTCAGGTCTTGTACACTGAGTATGAACCCTGTAGTGCTTTGGATGATAGAAGGGACACTCCATTTTCTTACAAGCTGGGAAGTAACAGCAGAGCTGAGTATTAGAAGGCAATGCTGCTGGCGTAACTGGTTTTGGAGGAAGTACTAGGAATCCTCTACTCATATGTGTGAAGGCACAATCGAGCTTAGTATATTCTGCATCGTATTTACAATTTGGATGAACAAACATTTTCCAGCAAATTTATAATTGGGAAACGCTTTGCAAGGTGACATGTGATGGTAAGCGCACTCGTCCCTGTTTTTACACACAGGCCAATACTTGCAGCGCTCAAGAAGTTTCTCTGGTTTCTGTGCCTCAGTCAATTCACTTATCTCAACATTGGAAAAGCTACCAACTCAAGATGCCTGCTCACCAACTGCAACTGCTGTGGGTGGAGGAGACCTCTGAGTCTCTTGTTTGAGGCTGCAGTTTGGTTTACTCCACCTCCCCATTCTACACACAGCAGCTCCTTCTCCCATTCAACACAATCCATACCAAACGAAGAAGAGGTTTCCTTCCTCAGACTCTTGCGCACTGCTGTTGTTGGTGTGCATCACTGAGTTGGAATCAACTCATAGCTAACCCTCCAGCAGCTTTTCAGAGGCAGTAAACTGCATGGGAAAAGAAAGCCCCTTTCTCCCACAGAACATCTGGTGGATTCGAACGGTGAGTCTGTGGGTTGGCAGAGCAACTCCATATCACTGGTACACCAGCACTCCCTTCTCAAGCACTATAGGATCTAAAGACCAAGATCACAGAATGACCGATTATGATCAGGGACCAAGTTCCTCTGAGTGATCCCCTTTTTTCCAAGTTCCTTCTCACCAGTCCTTTCCCTCCTGATAGTGCAAACAGCTCTACTCCATACAAATACTGTCAAGGAAAGATTCTTTCTAAATTCCCACCAACTGTAACCTAGAGAAACACCAAAACCCCAAATGCACGGCTGTCAAGTCGATTTCAACTCAGTGTCTTTCTTAATCATAAAAGTGATTAATATACTTTATAAATAATATCGCTTCAAGAAGAAATAAATCTAAATCCCCCAAAATGTACCCAAAACCATGTCTGAAAAGCCTACCTGTATTTCTTCTTCTGAAGCTGCCATATCATGGTTTCAGACAGCTCAGTGGCATAAATTTCCTCAAAATGAGGGCTCATGACTTTGGTGACTTCTCCATCGCCAGCACCTAAATCAAGGAGTCTATGGGTTTTCCAGTCTGGGTTAATTTTAAGCAGCCTCTGAAACTGATCTGGTGAAAACACAAACATTGATCCTCTTCCTAGCAACCTAGGAAAAGACAAAATGGAAGAAACTATATAAATCAAACCAAACAAAGACACATAAACACACCCCAGTGACCCAGTGCCAACAGTCTTCTGAACGGATACAATTTTAATTTAATTAAAATGCAAAATTAGGGATACTGTCAAACACTTCAAAGAAAATCATTAGCAAGTGAGAAACTTTCAGATCTAATCTAGCAGCTCAAGGGGGGTGGGGGGGTGGAACGAGAATAATAAAAGATGGAAAGAATACAAGGAATAGAATAGGGAAAACAACACAGAATGTCTAAGAAATTAAAAGATAAATGTGAAGAGGGAAGAATTTAAGTCAAAGTAGAAAGGGAAGGTGGCAAGAGTAGTAGAAATTATGTACATTAATGGAAAAAGGATGGTAGACTGGTTAACAGAAGCAGACCACAACACTTTACCTAGCGCTAGGTAGAGAGGTTAAATGGAGGGGGAACCCCATTTGGAATTTGAAACTGAACAATGGATGAGAAAAAAATGGCTCCAGAATGTTCAATTTGTAGCAAAAACTAGAGAAAAGAGGCAAAAAGTAGTCCTTGTAGTATCAGTTAATTTGCATTCAAGAAGTAGATTCATACTTGTATAATCTGTCACAGCCCGTCCATTACAGTATTAATGCCAATGTTCTTTAAAAAAACTACTAAAACCGTATCAATGCCTTTGAAAAGAAGAGAACGAGGAAGTCATAATGCAGATCAAAGCAACCCTCAGTAAAGCTCTACTACTACTCAATGTCTCAGTGAAACATCATCTTAGGAAGGGACTTGGCATTTCTATGCAGAATTCAGTGTTTTCTAGCTCTCAAATCCTAGTTCGTGGAAAGCAGAGTCTCAGACTCCTTTTAGAAAGCAGAGCCTTTCCACACACAAAACGCCAAAAGGAGAGTTGGTAACTAAAAAGGAGGCAGGAGGCCCAAAGCCCCACCAGCCCATTGCTAGGCCTTTCTCTGAGGCTCTGTCTCCTTACCCCTGGGATGGTAGTTTGCAAAACCACGGTTCCAGGAAGGAGGCAGGAAATGTGTCCTGTACTGCTGTTTTCTGGAAAGGACCATTAAGGTGCAATGTGTCAGTGGACAGTGACTAGTTACAGGCAGCCTGGTATTACTGGTAAGATCAGATTGTGGGTGGGGATGTTCAGATTCCTGCATTACACTCTCCCTCTCTCCTCTTCCTACTAAGGCAATTCAAGAGTTGTTTAACAACCTAGTAATATATTTATAGTCAATTCCCATCTCCAGAAATGCTAAAATTGAGGGAGGAGGAAAGAAGAATCCACCAGCTGAAAAACATGATGCACTGCTTGCCAGAGAAATCCACAGCTCATAAAAGAAAAAATTAGTTTTAGCCTCAATTGTCTGCATCATCTACAGGAAAACCATCCAAAAGAAATAAATTTGAGGGGAAAGGGCACGTTCCTGAAATAGCTTTGAAGTCTACACAGGAGCAGGAATAAGAGGAGGATGAGGTCAGAGGGAGCACGCTTACGGGATGTAATGTACAAGGGCTCAAATGCAGCTGTCGGCTTGCCCAAAAACCCAGGGGAAGCTACACAATTGTCACTTTGCTTACACTTCTCAGCTAGGAAATAACACGCCTCCTAACTCACCTCTTAGGATGTGAGGGACCTGGACTTTGTAATCCTAACATTCTAAAAGGTCAAAAGAAATCAGAGTTTGTGACATTATCTAGTTAGGTCAACATTTAAAGGTATCACAGAGAAGAGATGTCCTATATTCAAAAAATGCAAGACAAGCAAAAGAGGCTCCTCAAGAAAACATTAAGCTCAAATCAAAATCTGTCGTACCCAGGGGATCTCAGCCAGGTTCAGTTTTGCACTTTCAAAGGTCGCTGCAGTGGCTGTAAGAGTTCTGGGTGGTCACAAAGACTAGGGTAGTCGCAAAGACTAGAGTTGCTCCAGGCATTTAGGCCCCAAGGCCAAAAGAACTTCAACTTCCTGCAAAGTGTGGGGCAGTCCCACATAATAAAAAAATTGTCCCGCCCAACATACCAAGACACTGACCTAGTTCAGTACAAGGTTTCCGGTAAATATATACAATGGAAAAGTATGACACTGTCTTTAACCCTCTAAGGTGGTGGTGGTTGTGTATGGTGAGAACTGACCCACAGATGACCCTCCGGCAGGTTTTCAGAGGCAGTTATTCGCATGGGAGGAGACTGCCCATCTTTCTCCTGCAGAGCAGCTGGTGGATTTGAACCGCATACCTCAAGGTTGGCACCAGGGCTCAACCATCAAAGGTAGTGAGGTCCTAATGTCTTTTAGTGGCGTACAACTGCCCAAAATTGGCTACACTCTAATTTCTCTCCAGATTTAATCTGCAGAAGGCAGCATATAGCGAGAACATGCCTTTCTTCTTTGTAAAATAAACTCTGAAAACATCTATCAAGTCTCTCTTTAGCTGGTCTTCCCAGTTCCAACACAGAATATCTTAAGGTCATTCAAAAAGGTTATTTTTTTAATCACTCATGGTAATATTCTACCATTGCCATGGATGGTTATGTGTTCAAAACCCGGTCTATAACTGAGACTAGAATACAGGCTAAGAGGTGGGCTGGGTGAGGAGGGGTGGCTAGGATTCAGGGCAGTGGGTTTTGGGTTTATTCATGCATTTGTTTAGGGCTTAGGTAAAAAACCCAAGAGTTCTCAGTAAGAGAAGACAGAAAGCAACAATACTGCCTCTCTCTGAGTGAAACACAAAGTTTAAGAGCATGAAATTTTAAAGGACTGTGTGACCTCATCTGTAGGGAGCTGTGCTAATAACTGAAAAGCCTTGCCTCTCTGGTGGTGCAAATCCAACAGCTGCCACAAGGGAGAAAGACAAGCATTATCCTCCCATGTAATTTACAGCCTCAGAAACCAAAAGGAGGGTCACTTATGAGGTGGTTCCTACTAGAGGGAAATCTGAATGAGAATGAGACAGGAGAGGCAGCAATGAGAAGCGAAGAAGAAAAAAGAGATACGGGAGACGGCAATAAGGGAGAGAAAACGAAGAAGTGGAGAAAACTGGTTCAGAGACTAAATCACAAATTTTTATAGAAAATACTGAAGCTAGGCACTTCCTAAAGAGAAGATTCCTATCTTTCATCTCTTTCCAATAGGTCTTCCATATATCATCTGTAGGCAGAGCAAATCATTCAAGAAGTTTAACTCTGAAGAAAAGAGTGGCATCAGGATTGTAACCTACATCATGCAGATGAAACAACCTTGCTTGCTAAAAGTGAGAAGGACTTGAAGTACCTGCTGCAGAAAATCAAAGATGACAGCCTTCAATATAGATTACCTCTTATGCTAAAAAAAAAAACCAAAACAACCAACTGAGAAAGTATGTAGTCAGGGACTGCTCCAATTTATTGAGAAGCAATATCAATTTGAAGACTAAGGTGTGCCTGATTCAGGCCATGGTCTTTTCAGTCACTTTCCATGCATCTGAGAGCTGGACAGTGAATACAGATGACAAAAGAAAAATTGACGCCTTTTAGCTATAATGTTGGAGAAGAGTGCTGAATAGTCCTTGGACTGCCAAAAGAACAAATACATCTTAGAGAAAGAACAACCAGAGTGCTCCTTGGAGGCGAAAATCTTTGACAAAGCTTCAACTCACATACTTTGGGCATGTTGCTAGAGAAGGACATCATGCATATACAGGGCAACAAAAGAGAGGAGATAGATTGACACGGTGACTGCAGCAAAGGGCTCAAGTGTGTCAGAGGTGATGAGGATGACACAGGACAGGACAGGGTTCAGATCTGCTGGTTACAGGGCTGCTATGAGTTATACTCAACTCAAAAGTACCTAACAAGTACCAGAACCAGCTATTATGGAGTCAGTTCTCTCAAAGTGACCTCATGTGTAGAACTGTGCTCCTTATGATTTTCAACAGCTGATTTTTTTTAAAGTAGATCACCAGCTCTTTCTTCCACAATGCCTCTGGGTGGCTTCAAACGGCTGACTTTTTAGTTAGCACTCTGGCAACATCCAGGGACATCCATCTCTAACAGGTACCCAAACCAAGCCCGCTGCCTTTAAGTAGATTTTGGCCCAAGTCTCCATCAGATTTCTAAGGCTGCATTTCGTTATGGAAATCACTGCTCATCTTTCTCCCTCAGGGTCACTGTGGATTTGAACTGCTGATCTTTCAGTTAGCAGCACAAGACAAAATGAATGAATGCACTCTGCCTCTGGATCTTCTTCCAACAGGAACAGGACATCAAAAAGGATAAAAATAATTGCCTTGACAATTTGTCTGCTTTCCAAAGAAAGAATAAGTAGTACGGAACAGAAATTGTTTGCAGCTCATTTTAGGAACAAAATTTCACACTAAGTTGTATAAGCACAACTACCAATACCAAAAACAACTGTTTGATGAGGAGAATTTAAGGCAATTTCATATAAACAATGAAGAAAAGTAAGTACGAAATTTCAAGGAATGGCTCATGGTTCCTGAAAACATATTTAAGGACCAGATGATATCCTGGAAATCCAGACATTCAGGAGATGCTGGCTCCAAACCTCAATGGGAAAAAAGAGAGAAATAGTAGGAAATAGGCCTGACCAGGGCTTTACCAAGGTTCCTAGGCCCTGGGGACTACTCTTAGCTCTGTTTGGTTTTTTTTTTTATTCTTGGGGGGGCGGGGGGTCATTTTAGCCAAGGAAGGACAGAAAGCTTTTCTATGAAATTAATGCAAGGGAACCACTATAGGGATAGAAAATTCTACAATAAATTTTGAAAACTCTGATGAATCTAGACAGTATGTAAGAACGCATGCAGGATCCTTCACATCAAAGAAGCCATCACTCACTGCTAAACTGGTTGATTATATCCCACCTCCCTCTTCCCACCCCCAGCAAAATAACCAAGTTCCTTGTGGGAACTGAGCTTATAGGGAAGGAGACCGGACTCTTCAGACCAGGTAAGCAGTTGGATCCACTGGGATCATGGACCAGTGGGTTAGATATGAAGACTTGGAGGCCCTCCAGCCTTCATAGATAATCTGCATTTTAACAACATTCCAGGTGATTCCTAATCACCTCAAAGTCTTAGAAGCATCGTCCTAAGTGACTAGTGTCAGGAAAATACAGACTAATGAAGTTGTTTAACAATTTCCTGTGAATTTTAGAAGTATAAATGCAAAGGCTGGTGCATTGGCTGCTCCCAGCAGCTTGGGATTCAACTACTGTTGAAGTGGTGAACATTCTGAGCAAAATAACTTTTCTCTTTTTTCTTTTTTTAAATCTAAGGCTAAAGAAAAAATATCCAAAGTGAACTTACCCATTGATAGATGTTCTAGACATAAACAGGCTAAAAACGGATGACACGAAAGAATGGTATAACTGGATAAAGAGCCAGCCCGACTTCTCAATGCTGTTGTTTAAGAAGATCTGTGTTCCATGATCAAGGTAGCTCTGAACAAAGACGGCCTGGAGCGATTCACATAATTTCTCCCTGTTGCACACATACCACTGAAAGAAGGAAAAATGAAAATAAACAACTGAATTGTCATGTAAAAAGGCAAAAACAAGAAAGAAAAGCCAACAATACCCACCCCAGACGCCACACATCTTCATAGAAAACGAATTCTCGTAAACACTAGGGAGCTCACTGGAGAGCTCTGGTGGCCTAGTGGCAAGAAGCTGCACTGCAATCTCAAAGGCACGCTGTTCAAATCCACCAGGTGCTCGGTGGGAGGATAGGCATCTGAGTGATTAACTGTCTCTGAAAAGCCGCCAGAGGGTCAGCTATGGGTCGATTCTGACTCTACGGTACACAACAACAATAATCACTAAAAAGCTAAGTAAGTCAAGCATCATCAGGATGAGGCTTTGTAGAGTATGTTAGTCACTACACTCACCCCTTGGAAGCAGGAGTGGCATCTGCTTCCTAAACAACATGCCTCTGGAAACTCTATGAACTTTGAGAAATTATGACAGAGAAAGGCTTCAGGTCTTTTGTTCATTGGGTTGTTATGAGTAGTGCTCAATTCAATGGCAATCAGCAACAACAACACTTACCCCACACTACACCAAGATCTAGAGGAGCTCTGTTGGCCTCTGAGATTTACCTGCAGAAGGCCGTCCAGCTAATACCACTAGCCTTGTTTTTAAGGAAAGAGCCACACATGCCAATGACTTAACTCCAAACTACCAAATGAATCAATGGTAGGCTATGGAGCAGAATTCGGCTCCCGTGACCAGACTGGGCTGTCCTCATCTGTGCAGACTATCTAAAGATCTCTAGAAACTCCCAGGGATGCTTCACCCACAGGTCACATGACTATCAAATTCCAAAATCAACCACTGCAGTCAAGTCGATCCAATGTACAACAGTCCTGCAGAACAAGTCTACGGATTTGCCTGGGCTGTGGGTTTTACAGACACAGCATGCCACATCTTTTCTCCCACAGTGGCTGGTGGGTCCGAACCAACCACCTTTCCATCAGCAACCCAGAGCTTAACCATTGTATCACCAAGGCTCCTCCTTATGTCAGACTCAGAAGTTACTCTATAGGATATTGTGAGGATTCAACAAGGGAACATGGGCAAACGCTTAATAATGTGTCAGATACACAGTGAGAATCCCGTGATTATTTTAAAATACTAATTGCAATGAAATGCCATCAATGTACTCTATTAAGTACAGCGGTCAAACTACACCCATTACTGTAGAACTGACCATTATCTACTGGGAAACCACCAATTTTTCCCCCAATAGTCTATTGGCCAAAAGTAACCTGCTTCCTGACACATTATTCAACAGTACAGCGTCCCGTAACTGCTTGCACAATTGGTGGACTAATTTTACAGTCATTCTAAACTTGCTAAACTTGTTAAATGACATCTTGGGTAATGCTCTTGACACCAGCATTAAAAGGAACTAGTAGCAAAGCAGAGAGCTCTGGCTGAGTCGTCCATGAGAGGCAGCTGCTAATCCGAAGGCCACATCACTCTGGTGGCTCACCAGCCACTCCTCACCAGCCACTCCTCGTTGGAAAAACAGGGCGCTCTCCTGGATGACTTAGGGCCTTGGAAATCTGCTAGAGCATCAACTGTGAGTTGGTTTCAGCTCAATGGCAATGAGAGAGACAAAGACCAATGTAAACAAGCAAACATGCACCTTGAGATTTCAAACTAAGCTTCAAAAGCCTGCAGCCTGAACTAGAGGAACGAAAACCGAGTGATCTGTGCTAATTTACCATTTAAACATTGTTCTCATATCTGTTTGGACTTTATTTAACACTATTTTACCCTCCCTATCCTCGGTGATAAACCAGAAGGTGTATCATGTTTCCAGTCTAAATGTTCTTCTTTGGTTTGCAAATGTTCTAGCTTAACCACTGACTTAATATTTATTGTGCCTGAAGTTACATGCCACAGTGTGTGTCATGAGCCAGTTCTTAGGATATTTGTGACCAACCCGTACACATTCTGAACTCTGCAATACTCAGGCCACTCTGCCTTTTTACTTTCTGCTATCACCAATCACAATGAAAGCCACCACCTTAGCAAAAGGCAATCAGACGCATCCTATTTCCCGTAGACAAGAAGGGATTCATGCAAAACAGAGGAACCAAGAACTTCAATGAACTCACTTCTAAAATGGACTCTGAGTGCCAGAACTAGGCAGGAACTGACTCCAATAACTACAGACATTGCTTTCAGGGGCCAAGGAGTCTCATGTTTTTAACAGCATAGCTCTTACTCCCATCAACATTAACACCTGTGACTAAACCTTAACTGCCACAATAAAGTCTTCAAGAGATTGCTTATTGAACACAAAGTGTTACCAAATAAAAAGGAGTGAAGCCTTTATTAAAGATAAAGGCTGAAATCCATGCCCCTCCAGACCCCCTGTATGATACTCCATTCAAAATCACAACCCCCAAAAAAAGGAAACTACCCCAAATATCTATCAACAACAACTGATGGGTAAATGCTAGACAATGTGTGGTACACCCATCCAACAGAACACTATTCAATCCTGAAAAGGAAACATGCAAATGCATGCTGTAGCATGAAATGAACCCTGAAAACAGTATGCCAGTGCAGTCACCACAGGGCCCAAGAAGACAATTCAGAGAGACAGAAAAGCAGAGTGGCAGGTAAGAGAAGGGGCAGAAATGGGAAAGGGATTTCTCCCTGAAGACAACTTCTGAAATTAGAGTGGTGATAGCTCCACAACTCTGAAAATATTCTCAAAACCACAGAATTGTACACTTCTTAAAAAAACTTTATTTCATAGCACATAACTTTTATCTCAATAAAGCACTAATTAAAAACACACAGAAATAAAAACTTAGATGTCAATTTCATCCTCTAGAAATTAGGTGGGTTGAAAATTTAAGTGACCAAGCAACTTCCTTTTAAAGTAATTTTTTTCAAGTATCATTTATTCTGTTCCTTAAGATAAAGTACAAAAGATTATGCATTAAATATTAGAATGATACCATATATTTAAAATGAACATCAGTTCAGTTTTATAGCTCATGCACCACATATAGAATACTCCATGGATTATTTCCTTTATCAACTCCATTTTATTGTGATTAAAATAATTACTTACATGGTCATATCACAAGTAATATTTAAAAAAATAATTTGTATGTCAGGCATTTTGCTTTTTGCAGAACTTTGTTTTCCCCCCATCGTTGTAATTTTTATAATTTTTTTTTCTCATAGAGAATATATACAGTAAAAACACACAGCAATTCTGCTTTCTATATGTACCATTCAGTGGTACCTGTTCCGTTCCCTGAATTGGGTGACCATTCTCACCACAAGTCCTTCCTCTTCCATTAACAAACTTTCATGCCCCAGTTCTGTCAAGGCACTTCTGACAATTTGATCCTTTACAGAGAGATCCTGAGGTAGCTCTGGTGGCCTTAATCAGTTGTACTACCAATCTAAAGGCAGGGGATTCAAAGCCAGCAGGTGTTCTGCAGGACAAAGATGGGCAACTCTTCCCTTGAGATTTATAGCCTTTGAAAACTCATTGGAGGTTACGCTGTGAGTCAGTTCCAATTCGAGAGTACATCACAACTGTTTCGTTTCACTGGTTTAAGGCTTAAAGGTTATAAGGGCAATAGTTTCAAGAATTCATTCAGCCTTCATGATCTAGTAATGTGGATATCCATTAAAAATCTGAAATTCTAGTATGCATTTTTCTCCTCTTTTGATCAAAATAATTCTATGGAATATTTATCAAAGTGTTCAGTAATGAGAGCTGGGCACCATAAGTTAGTTCTTCTGGCCTCTTGGCAAGGGAAGAAATTGTACATGGAGGCGATTAACCACTACATTTTTTCCACCTATTTCAGGCAAACAGAGACGAGTTGTATACCAGACCACAAGGGAAGATGTCACTGTTTAAACAGAAATGTGATGACGTCATAATCCTGTTTCACAAGTCTTCACTCACCATGGTGAAGTGTTTTGACCCACAGCAATCCTTCATGCGGTTTCAAAGGCTGAAAATCACAAGAGACTGCACATCTTTCTCCCACTGAGCTGCTGATGGACTTAAACGGCTGAAGATGCAGGCATCTTATGAGAAGTCCTGCATGGTCCGTCCATACTGCACCTGCAGCCTTTTCTTCACAACTGTCCTGGCCACTCCACTCCACCTTACCCAGGCCCAGTTTGCCTTCATTTTCTGGAAAGCTCTTTCCTCACAGCTGTCTCCCATGGTGTTTGTTATGGCCTCAACATTTCTCCCCTCCCCAAGGCACTTTCTGTTCACCTGGATAATTCTACCTTGGCCTATTCATAGTCTCTTTTTAATACCTTCTCATAAGAAGATACCATGGACTGTCAAAACACCAACCAAATCCATCTTGGAAGAAGTGCTCCTCGGAGGTGAGGCTAATGAAACATCATCTCGTAGCTTTGGGGCATGTTATCAGGAACCAGAGGAAGGTCCTCAGTGAGAAGGACACAGTGACTGCAACAATGGGGATGGCACAGGATCAGCATTTCGGTAAGCTGCACGAACAGTGGTTATGAATAGTAGTTGACTCCACAGCACCTCACAACAACCAAGATGGGGCTTTTGACAGGTTAAGTTTCTGAGCTTGTTATCACCAGAAGCTCTAGCAGTGAAGTTCCTCGTGCTGCACTGGTAACCAAAACCAGCTACTCCCGGGACAAAGATGGACAGCGATTTACATCTGCTATTTCACTCCTACTTTCTAACTTCTGAACAAATGGTGAGCGGGGGGGGCGCTCCAGCTGGCTCATTCCCTTGTGACATGTTATCTTATACAAGCTTTTCCAAGAAGTTTATTTTAACTTTACCTAGTACACCCACATGCTCTGGAGGCCTAGTGGCAAGAAGGTGTCCTGCAATCCCAAAGGCACGTGGTTTGAAGCCACCAGCTGCTCCGCGGGAGATGGATGGGCAAGGTCCCCCCCGTGCGATTAACTGCCTCTGAAAAACCCACCAGAGTCAGCTATGGGTTGGTTCTGAC